AACTCACCAAACACTTACTTGCTTTGCTTAGTGCATTTGTTGTTAAGTTAGTTACAAAAGATTAACCCATTCCCTTAGTAGATTCCTCGTCTGCTTAGCAGATTGTTAAATTTTGAAATAAGCTCTCTAATTGATATTCACTAAATGAATTCTCTATGCACTAAACGGATTTTTCAAGATAAAATTTTATAATTTTTTTAATTTATTACTCCTACAAAAATAAATAAATAATTTAGTTAAAATGTATAATTTATACAATAAATTAGATACAGATATATTTATTTCTTTTTCATAAAAATTACTTTAAAAGTTAATACTTAATTAAAAAAATGTACTAAACATAAATAAAATATAATAATAAAATTATTGATAAAATATATTTATCATTGTCAAAATGTTTCTAACAAAACCTTTTTTTCCATTAAGGTTCTTTCTCCCTTGATTAGAAGCTAAACATTACAAGGTCAAGGATATAATTTTATAGCTTTTTAGGGATGAACACAAAGATATATCTCTTAAATATTTGGAAGTGTTTTCTTCTCGGGTATAATACTCACAATAGAGAATTCAAAGTTTTGGCAATTGTGATTGTTACACGTAGAGAGATGTGTTATATCGCGCCATGCAAAAGTACTTGTTAGCAGGTAAGTGGTTGAGTGTTGACTGTATCTTGTAGGTTTTGTCAATTACTTCTGAGTGTGTAGGTTTTGCTCAAATATACAATGTATGCCAAGTAGTTCGCATGGCTTTAAGTATTGCATGTAGTGAGTTCACTCAATGAAGGTGTCTACTTTTGCACATGATGATTGTTCTCTTTACCTTGCTCAATTTTTGTGCATGTCATCTTCAGAAATTTAAAAATTTAGATGTCTTGATGACAAATTATTTCAATCATGTTTGGTTCCTTTAGATGTACTGGTGTGTACTTAGTCAATTTTCCATTAGATGATCAATATGTTTGGTTTCTTCATTAATTTATCAACCTAGCATGAGATGGCCAAGACTTTTTCAAATCTAATGATGATAATTAGTTGGTCAAACTTGCACTAAATGGTCCACAACTCATTAAATGATCCATGATAGTTCATTGGTCAACGGGTGCGTGTAACCTTGTTATGTTGTGCTTCTTTAGAAAATTAAAATCAAATGGTTATTTTCGTTATAATATCATCAAACAAGCTAATGACACATGACAATATAACTTTTCGAAACAATCTCAAAAACATGTGGTCAACATAGTTCGGATTGATATAAATCTTGATCATGTAATATTTTTTAAAATTTTGATAAATTAATCCAGAATATATTATTTGTATACCTTACGAATCGGTGAACTAGGAAAACATTCAATTAATGAATCTAGAGATTTTATAAAAATCTTGATAAAGTGATCTGGAACTTCCCGGATTGAGCAATACAAAACTTTGCCATCCGTAATTATTTTTGGACCATTAAACAATATAATATAATTATTTATCCAAATTTTTTACCACGGAATCAGTGGTAGATCTTCTTGGGTGTTGTGACCCACCTAAAGTTTTGTAACTTTCATATAATTTATGATTTTGGTCCTTCAAATTTAATGAATATTTAATATATTTATTTGTATATTTACAATTTTATCTTTTCATCCCTCCTTAATTTTGTAACTCTCGTATAATTTATAATTTTGTTCTCCTCAAACTTAATGATCATTTAATATATTTAAGTATATATCTATAATTTTATATTTTTACCTTTCATATTATTTCTTCCTTTTATATTTATTTATTATTTATTAATAATATATTATTCGACCCCTAAAATCAATAGTTCTTTATACGGAATATTCAATATAGTGATTTCTCATATAGCAATTGTCATCGTATCACTATTTTATATATATATATATATATAATACATAAAAACATATATGTAAAAATACTATAATATAATATTTTAATATTAATATTGTATATAAAACATATCGAGTTTGATTTGAATTGGTTAAATCAGTTACTACTAGAAAACTAGTTTTTTTCTGCCAATTTTCTTGCAAAAATTTGTTTAAATTTATAGAAAACTTATTTCTTGCAATTTTTATCAAAATTTTGCAAAAATATTTCCATGAAAAATGAGAATTTATAGTAGTGAGAACAATGGATAAATTTTACGATTAGAAAAATTTTCGAATTCATCTATCTAAACCATAAAATTATAATCTTAATATATTATAATAAATGAGATCAACCTCAATTATATCCATTCATTTCAGGAAAAAAAAAAAAAACAGAAATAAGCTTTGAGACACATTCATAATATCACCTTTGATTTAGCATCCAAATAATTATTTTCCATTCAAATCCTATGGAATTGAAAAATGTGTATAATGGGAAAGAGGCAAAAACAAATATTAAAATTAGTTAAAGTTGAAGTAGAATTAAGCTTGGATCTTTTAAATAAAATCTTTTAGTATAAAATTATAAGGGACGGGGCGGCTTTTGTATTTTCAATTCAGTTTCCCATTTTCTAATCATTTTTATCCTTATTCTCGATTTTTATTGAAATTAGAAAAATTTTATGTTCGTTTTCATTTTTTTTTTCATTTCTAATCCATTTTTATTCTATATTATTTTAAAAAATATTATATTTATAAAAAATTATTTTTAATACTTTTATATATTTTTAAATATATTAAATATTAATAATTTTATAATTATTATTAATTAAAAATATACTTTAATTTATTATACTTATATTAAAATATATATATATATATATTTAAAATGTTACTTATTATTATTATTATTATTATTATTATTATTATAATAATAATATAACACTCTATTAAGTTAAGTTAATTATTTTTTAAGTTATATTTTAAAATATTAATAAATATGAAATATATAATTTATAACAAAATATTTAATAAATTAATTCTTATTTAATTAGTGTAAAGTAATAAAAATTTTAATTATTAATTTTTGTAATTCTTTAAAATATAATTATTTTATTAAGATTAAATTTGATATATCATAAATAGGAATAAAAAAATTCAAAAATATAACATAATAAAACTTAATAAAGATAAAATAGAAATAAAATAATACTATGTGCTTCTAAAATTGATAAACAATATTTAGAGAAAGATTGAAAAGAAAAAACAATTAATTTTGTCTTTGTCAAATTGGGAGAAGAGATTAGAAAAATCAAATTGATCGAAAAAAAATGTGTAGGAGTAAAAGATGAGAGAAAAAAATATAATGAATTGATTGGTTGAAGAGATTAAAAAAAATGGAAAGTGGGTATGAGAAAAGTAAATAGTGTGAAATATAGAAAAAAAATACCTTATATTTAATATATAATGTGAAAAAGAAAATAAAATATTTTAAAAAAATTAATAATTTAAAGTTTAGATTTAAATATAAAGTCGAGACAGAAATAAGGTTGAGGTCAGGGCTGAGATGTGCATTACCAATCTCCGTCTCCAAATTTCTGTTCTCAACTTTTATAGCAAAAAAAAAATCTGAACTCGCATCTATATCTTGTCAACTCAATTTTTCCAATCAAACTCGGGGTATGGACAAATCAATCTTTGCGAGTGCAAGTGTAATTATCGTTCATGTACAAAATAGACAAAATACAACGTCTTTTAACTACGGTAGGGATCAAGTGCAATCGTCATCCTTATACAAAATAAACAAAATACAATGTCTTTTAACTACGATTATATGTGAACCATCATTGAAAAATATATAAGACCAATTTCAAAATTATTTTTTACTTTTTATTAATGGATAATTATAAATAGAATTGTCGTCGTATGTTTAACTTTCTATTGAAGGTTCTCTTACAATGGTCATCGTATTAGACATACGACAACAAATATTTACGAAATTGTCATCATATATCTTGTTAAAATTTTAAATCTTATTCATTTTGTTTATTTCATCTCCATATCCATAGTTTTCTTTTCTTATTCTCTCTTTTTTTCCTTCTCCTCTCTTGCAATTCCACTTTTCTTTCTTTATCTATTGCAATTCAACTCTTCTCTTCTTCTTCCTCTCTCTTATTCTCAGAGTGTTTCGCTTCACCGCAAATATCTCCAATCAACTCAAAGTTGTCATAACAGAGAACAATAGTGAAAGACCATGTTTGTTGAGACAAAAGTAGAAAATAATGTTTTGCTTAGACAGAAGTAAAGAACAATGTTACGTTGGATGTCAAAAGAACAATAATATGGAAGTAGTGAAAACTTTCTAGTTTGTTGCAGCAGAGCAACAATGGAATAGTGGAAGTTTTGTTGCAGATGAACAACAATGAGAGAATCGTATTGCCATGATGGAACTTCTAAATTTATTATTAAGCTTACCTGTTTATTGCAACGGAACTTCTAAATTTGTAATGATGAAATAAAATGAGAATTTTGACATACATTTAAAATTGTTGTTAATTTATTAATTTTTAACTAGATTATAACAATAATGATTAAAAATCATCATTTTTTTTTAATCATTGTTATTTGTATTAGTTTGAGTTTAATTTTATAGATAGAAGAAAGGTAGTTCCTAGACAAATGAATACTCGAAAATAAAGATTATAAGACTGACACATACTTAATAATGATCTTAAAAAATCAAAATAACATGATTCATATTTTAGTCATACATATAGACAAATGGACAACATAATATAAGATAATAAGATTCGAAAAGATAAGAATCTTATTTTACTATAAAAATGATTCACTTAGCATAATTTATATGAAAAATTTAAAATACCATAAAATTAGAAACACAGGAAGAACGAAACTGTAAAAATACTTAATAATAAGAAATTCAAGTCCTAAGAAACGTGAAACAAAATTTAAGAGAATTACATATACAGAAGAGAATTATCGAATTCAGCACAAGTAAAACTATAAGTATATTAATAAGCAAGCAACAAAGGAATTAGTGAACATGGAATGAGAAAAGAAGAACAGTTGAAAAACCCTTAAAGGCAAGTAACATGGTACATGCTCAAACAATAACCATGGTACTTATGAATGCAAAGCAAAGCAGAAGACCAACAATGGCACCTGCACAATCCAACCTAGCTGAACCAGAAGACTTCTTGCCCTCAAATTCCCCTGAACTGGGTGCTGGAGCAGGTGCCTCGGAAGGAGCACCATAAATCATTGGTTGATAGGCACTTGGAGTGGGAAAAAATGATGAAATATCTGGGGAAGTCACATAAGGCAAAAGGCCAGGAGAAGCTGAAATTGTAGGCTCAGTAGTTGAATTCACAACCTTTGAAAGCAAGATAACCAAAATGGCAAGGAGAAATGGCTTGATCATAGTAGCCATGAGCAACAAACTCTCTGAATTTTGAGTAAACAAAAGGGTGCAGAAAGTTGTGGAGTGTTGGTAAGTGTGTGGTGAGTAGGGAAAAGATAAAGATGTAAGAATATAAGAAGTAACAATTCAAGTGTGGCTGTTGTGACAGTTTATTTTTAGGTGCATTTGGTGAGAATCACGGGGTAAGCAAGGGGTGTAGTATATACACTTATCTCTTTGCATCCATATTTATTAAAACCCTTTGTTTCTCTTGATTTGTCGGTTGTCATGAGTGCAAAAGAGATTCCATTTTCCAAAGGGCAATGAGGAAAATGAAACTGTGCAGGGGACAAATGCACTACCATGTACTGCTGCCACTGTGAGATTCATTAAACAGTTCACATGATAAAGCCTTTTAGATTTTTATAATAGAAGGGGACCCAGTTTCTTTTGGATTTGTAGTGCACCCTACCATGTGAGTACTAGACCATAGTTCATGATGAGGATATTCGACCTATCTTCTGGTTTTGAAATAGTTCCACTAGAGCCACATGCATGTCTATTGTAAAATATAACACTCTTACAAATTTAAGATTTTAGAGAGGAAATATTTACTTGAATTTTGTGTGTGAAGGTGGCTTAAAAAAAATTAGTCTGTCTCTCATTGTTTCGAAACATATACACTACACACAAATGATTCTAGACCAACAACAAAAAAATGTGTAGCAATGTTGCACTTTTAAGCTTTACCTATGATCCGCTTCAAGAGGAGAAATAATCCAAGGGAAAGAGTGGAGTTGGAAATGTGAATCCGTGAAGCCAAGATAATCACCATGACCATGTGAATCTCAGACCAAATGGACGTGCAGCATGGTCCACAGGGCATGGTACAGAGAAGTGAAAAACTCGAATTAAAAGTTAAAGACAGATAAGAGTATGGGTGTAAACTCGGGAGTTTTCTGCTGTGGTCCCATTCTATTGAATTTGAATAGTCTAAGATAGTTTCGGAACAAGATATAATTTTTGTAACGGTCTTAGATTGGGAATAAAATAATTACAATGTCAAATATGTTAATACCGAAGCAATTGTACCTTCTGATTGTGAAGTACATGAAATGCATGCAAAAGATTTATAGCAGCAGCTTTCAAAAAGCTGCTACAAACAGGATCCAATAATACCAACTTACTGCGTCATTCTCCTTTTTGGTGTTGACCAGTGCTGATATACAGCATTACATTTCAATTCATGTGAATAAGAAGAATAAGTAGGAATTAGAACAATGGATATTGTGTAACATGATTGGTAGAATGTTGGATCCGTCCTTTAAATTCCAACAAGTTCCGAAATTCCGGTTCCAGTAAGTAAAGCTTCTGTAATCAGAGAAACCTGTGGTGTGCTGTGAATCTAAACTTTGGAGGCATTCCCATTTAAAAACTGGTCCATTGGAGCTGCTCTTGTTTAAGTGAAGGTGCACAAAATAGAAACTTCTTGTTGAAACCTGTGAAGGGCTTCTCCTTACTCAACTTCATTAAATGAACCTCTCAAATTAGAGTTATCCCTAAACTATATACACTAGTTTGATTATATTGGTGAATGTGTAATTTCCAATACTCCTTTTCAAAATTGATCTTCTGTTAACATAGATTTATACCAAACTAAACTTCATGCAATGAAACTAGTCCAACGATATATTTGTTTACTCTTTATCATTTCATTAATCGACTCACTCCATAATTGATTTCCTGTCATTTCAACCTTGAAAGAATGAACGTCCAATTATATAATCGTGCCTTTTTCTTTCCTCATCAGTAGTGTTGCATTGCATCCACTGAAGTGCACTTAAAGCATTAGTCAATAATAAATGAATTATTCTACCACGGTCTACAATTATTAGGCGTACATTCGCTGTTTTATCTACATTGAAATTATCGCAAAAACTTTTAAATCTACGAAGTATGATTACCTTTTCACATCAATGAAACAAAATGACCCGTCTTAATAAAAGAATTATAATTGAGATTCATTTGAGCAAATTTTTCAATCATGTTTAATAATTTTAAATTATTTTTTTCTACTGGTTGGAAAATCAAATTGGAGTAACCCATTCAACAATTAAACTAATAATCAGACTAGAATCAACTTGTTATTTCTAAATAACCGAATTTTATTAAAATAGGACAAAATCAGAAAAAACATCAATAAACCAATAAAATCAACTGAATTTTTTTAATATTTTGATAAAAAAAATTAAGATAAACTTATTTAATATAACTTACATATAAAATATATAATATATTTTAATTCTTTTTATCTCACTAACTATTTAACTTTAAATAATAATTATTTTATTATATTTTTATCTTATTTTAATAATTATTTACTTTTTAATATATTTTATATTTATAATTTTTATTTTAACTTACAATAATATAACAATAATATTTATTATTATTATTTTATAAAAAATATTATTAATAATAAATTTATTATATTATAAAAATATTATTTTTTTATTTAATTAGATCAAATCAAAATCTATTTATAAAAATATTATTTTATTAAATCTGATTATTTTACTAATAAACCCAATCTTAAAAACATTGATTTTACCAAATTCAAAACAAGTCGGGATATAAACATTTTATTATTAGCCGTTTCAATGTTGATTACCATTAGTTTAATTTTGATACAATTTATGTTTACATCTTTATATATTATTTTTAAGATGATTCAGGGCTTTTGAATATTAATTTTCAAAATATCGTTTTATAAAATAGATCTTTGGAATCTGTAATACTAGCCTTTTGACTAAGATAAAGTATAGTAAGTTGAATACTTCACCTTTTAAGTAATTTTTTTCCTATGGTATACAGAATTTCTAAGGCGTCATAACACGGCCATTTTATATAAACGAATATTTGAAAGCAATAATCATAAGACATTTTTAAGGATCAAATTTTCACATTGCTAAGTACAACACAGGTGGAGTGAAAACTTCAATTTTTGTGTTTGAGGTCCAATTAATTAGTAGCTTTAACCGAAATCTAATCTAATGTACAGAAGCAGTGGTCAAGCCCCCATTAGAATCTAAACTGCAGAGACTCGTCATACCCACCTTGGCATTTTTACATTACAAATCTTAACAAGCAGAAGAAGAAAATGCTTAACAAGCAGACTAAAGAATGGAATAATGTTATTTTAAAAAGGATGATGATTGGTTGATGAGTAATATACAACCCATTGACAAAACAAAATAATAATATAATAATATCTATTATTATATTCATATTTGTCAACCAAAATAATAATATAATAATAATATATTATTATATTAATATTTTCGATTTTCAACCGCTTATATATTACTCAATCAATTGTTAAGTAATCATATTTGCTTCTACAAAACATAAGCTCAGAGGTGAAGTAACAAATTGATCATGCCTCTTGTATAGGTCTTCGAAGACCGGTATAAACAGCTGACCGAAAAAGGAAAGGTGTATCTCCTGTCAATACCTCTGCATCCAACTTTTCAACATGGGGCCATATCTACAAGCAACATTAAAATATAAGCTTTTAATACTAAACAAATCTAGATCAATCTATATGCAAAGTGTTGTTTATAAGGCATTCCGTCAAAAACTAAATGCAAGCAGTGAATCGAACAATACCTCGGCAGCATACTGCCTAGAAAAAGCCTTCACATAGCCCAAAGTGGTGATACACCACTGCTCCTTTTCACCTACAATATAAGCACCACCACCTTTCTTCTCACCATTTAACTGACTGTAGAAGACATTAAAAAGCAATAATAATATGCATATGTCTACAAAGACAGAAACATATAACAAAAGAGCTGGAAGGACAGGCAAGAGTACCTGTTTTGAGATGTGTGGTTTTCGTCATCTAATTCCATTGATGGGGGCTCTTCAGTGTCCACTGCCATCACATCTATTTGTGCAGACTTCAACTCATGCAGTGTTCTAGCTCCTTCAGGAAGGCGCTCTATCAACACATTTGAGAAGCTTTTGTACAGCAAGAGAAACAATGCCTGCATGTGCAAATAACCCACCAATGCAATGACATATTATGAGAAACATAACTTCAAGGACATTTGATTCAAATTATGTAGCTATTGAGCAAGCCAAAAAGGGCCTAGGAGTTTTCTTTTATAACTCCAATTTGAAGTTAATCCAACTTCCGTTACAAAAGCCAGGATACAAGTAGAAACTACAAATACAAATAAAAATGAGTCACAGTGCTCTATTTTAAGTTCCGTAAACAAGAAAGCATTCAAAATAGAAAGACTGCCAGGTAAATCCTCTATCTCTTTAACTTCTTGCGGTTGCTTTTTCGCTATAGGAGAATCATAGAAAAAAGATATACAACAACCTTAACCACACAAGCTTGGGCTGGGCCTACCTCCATCCCTCATCCTCCTTTACTAACGTTTCCTTTTATTAGTTATTAAGAAACAAGTTGTTTTATATTATTATTGTACAGCCTGATAAAGCTATTTTTAGGTTAGAGGCTGAAGCCTTTATCTTTGCACTGTAGTTGTGTGTGTGTGTGTATATATATTCAAGGCTCGTTTCTACCCTTGGTTCTCAGTTTCAGCATACTTTAGTTGCTGGTCTAGTCTCTCTCCTTATGACTTCTCTCTAGCTCTAAAATCTGATCATTTCTAGTGCTCCTCAAATTGCCTCCTTAGGTTTCGGTTCTTCTTCTGCTACTCTTAACATTACCACTACAAAACTAACCTAATAGAATTACTTGAATTGTCCGCCTTGGTGGAGTTATGGTTCAAAGGTCAGGATGCCACAACCAAGGGAGACAGAAGCTAGTGCTATACGAAAATAAATCTCAAAGGCAAAAGATTAACTTCTAGCTATGTGCTGCTTATGGAAGGTCGTTGAGCCTATTGTCTTGGAGATACTCAATCATTCAAGACATGTTCTTTTTGAAGAAATTCTAAGACATCTTTGCCAATGATATTCAACATCTTTATTTGATGAAAACCCAAGGAGGAGTTTCCCTCAAACCACAAAACCATGTAGCAGAAGCTTGGGCTGCAATGTAATAAGTTAGAAGATTTATAGTCGTTGACACATTGAAGGTCGTCAACAAGAAACTCGATTAGATCCTGAGAAGTTTACATTCAAATTTTCATCATGTAAATCATCAAATTCTAGAGGATGATCAAATCTCTTCAATGAATACTTTAATTACTAGTGTTCTTTGTGTGCCTTCCTTATCAAAGAATGAGATTGCACGGTCATTGAAACAAAATGGTAAAGAAACTCTACAGTCTTTAATGCCGAATACAGATGTTCATCTATCATTGGGAAGATGCAGTCCTCATTCTTATTTTTTAATCAATAGAATCTTGAATTCCTCACTTCGTTATTTTTCCAAATGACCCTTTTATTTCATGTCTCTCCCTGGATGTTTGGTTGTATTTATTTTGTACATTGTGTCTGTCTAGGTTAAGACAAATTTTCTGCAAAGTCTTTTAAATATTTCTTTAAGTGATATTTTCACCTTCAGAAAAGGTACAAAAGCTATTCTCAAACTACCAAAAGCTATTCTATGTAAGTTGATGTTACCCTCTTTGAGGACATCCTTTTCTCATGATCCATGGAAACCCCCTTACATTCAATAGGTCCTCCATGTTCCATCCCGTGAAACCTACCTCCCATACTTACAGTCCACCTAACATTGCTCCACCACCTCTCCTTGCATATTAGCGCAAGTTCCATCCCATGAAACCTCCCTCCCATACTTACAGTCCACCTAACATTGCTCCACCACCTCTCCTTGCATATTAGCGCAAGTCATAGATGACTCATTTTGCTTTGACTGAAGTCCTTCCACCAGCTTCCCATACCATTAATCCTTCAGCCTTAACACCATTCAGATTGGTTCATTTCTCTTAGACAAGGCATTCTATCTATTTACAATCCTTAACCTATTTATAATTCTGAGTTGTCATTGTTTGTCTGAGGTATTTAATCATCCTAAATGACGACAAACCATGATTAATGAAATGTAGACTCTTGAACATAATGACATGCGGGCAAATGTTCCTCTACCATCAAGAAGGATATTTGGTAGTAAATGGGTATTCGCAACTAAGGTTAGGCCTAGTAGTGAAGTTGATTGCATCCAACCTCACTTGGTAGCCATGGAATATACTCAAATTTATGGTTTTAACTACTATACGCAATTCATTATTGGCTACTCTACTAGCTTGACATTAAAAATGTCTTTCTTCATGATAACATTAGTCTAGTTTGTAAACTATTGATCTTTTGTATCACCTCAATCAACCACCCCAAGCTTGGTTTGGTAAATTCAATCAAATTGTGTAGACTTTTCAATTTGAAATGGAGCAATGAAAATCATTTAGTGTTTTAGCATCATAATTCCCTTTGAAATATATAGTTATTACAAGAAATTATAATACTAGAATCTCTCAACTAAAGGAGCACATATTCAGATTGATCAAAGACCTTGGCTATCTTAAATACTTTCTTGGTATTGAAGTGGCTCTATCAAAGTAAGGTGTTGTTATTTCACAAAGAAAATATGCTCTTGCATTTAGGAGATAGGTTTATAAAATTACAAGACCATTGATAGTCCTATGGACCCAAATTAGAAACTAAAGTGTAACTTTTCATAACCAAAGAGATATGGGAGTCTAGAGGGAAAACCCATTTGTCTCATTATTACAAGACCTAATGTTTCATACGTACTCGGAGTTATTAGTCAATTTATGTAAAATCACCACATTGAACACAAGAATGCAATGATTTGCATTCTCACATGTGTTAACAGGTCTCTAGGGATTGTTCTATGAGGACAACGAAAATGCATTTATAAAATATTTTGCAATGTATTCAGGGCATTGTGATGCAGATTTGGTTGGTTGTCCATTGACCAAAGATCCACTAAAGAATATTTTATATTCATTGGATGAAATATAGTGTTATTATCGAGTCCAATGCAAAAGTTGAATATAAATCTATGGTTTTGGCCACTTGTAAACATGTGTGAATTAAACTATTTTTAGAGTTGAAACTGTGTCAAGTTAAGTAGATGAAGATGTAAAATGATAATCAAGCATCCCTTCATATTACTTCCACTCCATAGTTTCATGAGAGAACCAAACACAAAGATCTATTGTAAGGGAGAAGTCGCTGTTCCGACTGGATTTATTAGCTGTAATTACCAGCTTGCAAACATTCTAACTAGGTCATTAAGAGGACCTAGAATCAACTTATATATTCTAAGCTTAGTGCATATAATTTATATACTCCAACTTAAGAGGGAATGTTGAAAATAAGTAGTTTTATATTATTATTGTACAACTTGATAAAGCTGTTTTGGGGTGTACTTAGCTTTAGGGTTGAGGCTGAAGCCTTTCTCTTTGCTATGCACTTGTATTCTCCTCTTTGCTATGCACTTATATATCAAAGGAGGGATCCATTTACTCCAATGATAAATATACGTGATTTACTCCTCTTTAATCATTATATTACAAGAAAATAAATGGTAAGGATAAGAAGTCCTTTGTGCTTACTCTTAAAGAAGTGGATACTTCCCCTATATATATACATATACATCAATAGAGACTGAACTCACTGATTTTATCACTCATTAAATTCAAGTATAGCATTTCCTTTTTTGTAGTAATGTTGCCAACATAGCCACCTTTCCCATTTGGAGTGTAAATTGCTATATCACCCTTCCACAGGCCATCAACGGTCAAAATGACTGAGTTACTGACAAAGAACAGAGATACAAATACTTCTAAAGTACGAAACACATTGGCACATCCACTTTTTTCCAACACAGAAAAGTTTTCTGACCATAACAGAAAAATTTTCACATTCATAGACATTGTAAACATATGTTTGATACAAAAAACTTTCTGCGGACAATTAACTCATGCGAAATTTACATCAATTACCTCATTTTCCTCAATTGCTCGAGCAAGAAGAGCTTCCTTGGATTCTAGAGATTCTTTAAGTGTCACCAAGTCCTCCTTTGTCTTTTCAGCATGTGATTTCAATCTATTCAATCTAACAGGATTGTCACCAAGAACTGGTTCACCATCCACTAGTGTAAGTTTCGACTCTGCAGCATCTAACTCTACTTTTGCCTCGTTGGCAGCTTCTTCAGCTGATGAAATGTTCTTTTTAATAGTTAATATTTCTTTCCTTAGATCAGAAATGCGATTGTGTGTCTTGCTTACTGCATTTCTAAGAATCTGTCCGATGGAAAACAAAGTGAAATTACTATATGAAAGAACAAAGAAACTATCACGATGATCAACTCAAAATTCAATACATGCTGGAGTTTATAACCCATGACAAAGAAACCAAAAACAGAAGGATGTAACTTTTCAGCACTTAGATTTAAAAATCCAAAAGCTTATCACATCAAATACATTGAAATCAAAAAGGTAGATGGCTTCCAACACTGTAGACTTATAGCATAAAAGATAAGAGTTTACAAACAACCTATCCATAAAACAACGATTATATACCTCCCATGGACGATCCGATGTATGAAATTGCTCAATATTTTCTGCTGAGAAGACCCATCTCACAATAGCCAAATTTGATACAAGTCGATAACCCATCATTCTGTCAATAGCTATTGCTGTCATCTGGGTGTTACTCTTCCAGAAAGAACTCACTTCAGCTATCAGCATGACTTGCCGATCCTGATCAGGACATACTTTTGCAAAGACTTGCCCATATCTCTCCAAGACAGTTATCAAATGAGTGAAACTCTTGGATCCAATATTGAGAAGAGTTTGTACAACCACTCGGAGGGTAACCTCTAGACCATTATTTGGAAACACACTTTCATCAATCCATGAGATTATTTCACGGACAGGTGACTTCCCTTTAACCATGTTGTTGAGCTTCGCAGACAGTGCATATTCATCGCTTTCTTTACTATCTTCTGCACCATAACAAAAGTTTGGCCCACTCTTTGGAGGAAGCAATTCTTCCAAACGAGGTGCATTCTCAATACTCTACAAATATCATGAAATATACCATAAAAACAGTAAATGCCAACTATATAAAATAAAATTCCTTTTAATTAACTTTTTTTTGTTAATAGTACAAGCATTCAATGTAGTCAAAATCAGAATTTTACACAGAAACAGTAGGAGGGGGATAAAATATCATAAACCATAGTTTCATAACTCGGACCATGAGATCCTACTAAGCATACAATCTTACTGTAACATACTCATATGCAGAGAAAAAACATACAATGAATATAACCTCTAAATCTCATCATTAAAAAAATTATAACTGAAAAGTCATAAGCATAACATTCAATAAAACTCTTGAGTAATAATCAGTCAGATAACACAAGTTCTCCACAACATAAACGTTGATAAAAAAATTATTAATGAGATGTCTTTTAGTCAATTAAAGTTGTTTCTTCAAGATAAATAAAAATACAAAGGCAAAAACAGAGTGAGAGATTGGGGAGGGGCATTCAATGTGAGAGAAGAGAAGCGTCTCTCCTCTGCTGCAAGCACCACCGCCTGTCCTCTCTCCTCTTTTGTAAGTTCCACCGCTCCTAGCAGACCAAATCATGAGGGTAAGAGCAGAGGGTCGAGAGAAGGCAGTTATCACCTGCATTAGGGTAGGTTTCGTCTCCGACTAAATTCAGAAAGAAAAAAATGAGCTTTTCATAATAAGACAAGAAATCTGACATGAGACCTACTTCTGGAGGAATTGCTTGAGCCACTCAACTCACAATTCTATGCTCCAACTCAAGATTCCACCATTATTCCCCTGACATGATTTTGGTTGTGAGTTGCCTCACAAGGCAAATGGAAAATACAAAATCATACTATTTCACAAATTTAAAAGAAAATTTAATAACATTGAAAGCATCCATTCCTGTACATCAATAAAAACAGATAAAGAAAAATCTCTATATCCTTTTATGATTTCCCTCTATGATCCATAACCATGAAAAGATCATGAGTCGCAATGCAGTCTAGCCGTCTCATCTTAGGGCAATGTAAAACAAGAGTAAAATTTACTGTGGTTTTAGCTTGGATAATTACCTGCTTAACTTTGTCCCAGTATGACAAGCGAACTTCCCTCTCCAAAACCTCCTGGACAAAGACTCGTTGTGGAGCCCATCTTGGGAGGTCTAGGACATAAGCCCACTCTTCCCATGGCCAGATGAACTGGAAATTTGATCTGCATAGCATAAACCATCAACCAAATTGAATATGTTAACACTTGATATACAACAAAGGCCAAAATGTCAATAATCAATGTAAAAGATGTAAAAATATTTTACTTTAACAGTGTCCGTTAAACAGGAATTTTCAACCTAATTCTCAACCAAACCAATGACACAATGTTATAAAGGCAGGAAGAAGGTATAACAGGCTAGATCATCAACCATGTTGGGTGCATGGTGTGTTAAATAGAGTATGCCAATAACAAGGGGGAAAGGAACCAAACACAATAGGATATAGACACAACGTATATGTTTTCAACTATTAATATTCATCAGAAAGTGATGATTGGAAAAATTATTAGTTCATCAGCACAATGCACCAAACAATGAGAGCGAAAAATGAGCAACTAGTTCGTTCAATACACTCATTAAACCAATTATATGAATCATTATCATGAACTTTTGAGCCTCAGCAATTTATAGGATTAATGCCCACAATGTATAAACATGACACAAACACTCATTCCGGTAACAAAAATGGCCACAATCTTGGAACCAGTTAAAACCACCATTAATGGCTAATTAACTAACTTCATTATAAACGTCACTGCCTCGTAAATATAACCACCTTATTCCTTATAAGTTGGAATCATTCACTACTTTGCTTAGAGGGACAAGAACTCCATTTCCATTTGACCATAACAACTCCCACATTGCAGAGTCATAAACGACAATATTGTAGCATGGAGGGACTATAGATGTCAGAATTGCAGCTTGAGTTTCCACCTTTTATGGTAATCTAGTTGAATTTTAACCTTGGCAGGTGTGGGGGGGATTAACTGTAACAACATATTGATTTTTAAAGAGTGGTCAACTGTAACAACATATTGATTTCAGCCAATTCAGTTGCTGATTATTCCTAAACTAGATATGCTTCAGCTAAAACTTCACTTTCTTATTGTTTCCTTATATTTATTACCAAGAAAAAATCACGAGAGAAATAAGATCAGACCATGCATAGAGGCAATGTAAGATATTATCATAGTAAAAAGGACAATACAATTACATAAGAGAAAAAATATGTATGTTATTAATCATGCTTGGTCACCCTAATAGCAATCCAGTAATGTTAATTGGAAAGTGAATTTTATGCATTTAATTGGACAATTTAGTTGAATGGTCATATCAATGGCTAACATTTAAGAAAGTTTGGTGAAGCTTGGGCTTGGACAAAATAGGTAATGGTTAAGTGATAATTTTGAGGTTAATAATGTAAATTATTCACATTTTAATATTTGCAATAACTTAATCATGATGAAAAATGAGGTAAAACACATCCTTTAAATCATTTATATTTGTGAAAATATAATTTTCGCTATTAAGTGTTAAGAAATGTGACTTAAAAACAGCAATTTCACCTCAACGATTATCTCACCATTGAGTATAACCATATCAGAGAAATTTAATGTGAGAATCATGAATAATATCTTGCATTTTTAGTGTCTAGACACTGCAGAAACTTCTTCAGAATTGTTTGCTTTTTTGAATGGATAAATTTCATTAGATAAATGAAAAGAAGGTACAGTTGGGCAGGAAAAGATGCATAGCACAGCATATATTAAATTAAATTATGAATGCCGTAAAGCAATTGCTAAAATTATGAACATACAAATGGTGTGAGAACCAAAGGATCAGACGTGTCCGACATTCCATATCCAAATCAGCAATCCTCTCAAAGAGTGTACGAACTGCTCCAGCTACAACTGCAGGAAAAGCTCCAGGAAGAGCCTATTCGCAACCACATGATTAGAAAGAATTAAAATTATAAATCTATACAAACTGTGTATTGAAAGCAACAATAATTCCCCAGTGACAGAAAAATAAAACCAGCAATGTCATGCTCAGTACCTTGCAAAGGTCAATAATAACAAGTGTGTAATATACTGGTCTAAAAGGTGGTTGAGGTAGCATCAGCAGCTGCACAAGAGATAGACATCACATTACACAAATTAGCCAATATTTTTATTCATAAGCAGCCACTCATCAAAAGTACAAATTCACACGTCAGCAACATCAAACTATAAAATTGAACATTTCAGCACATTTAATTTACATAGCATGTTATTTTCATACAAATAAAAAAATGGTTGATGGATTTAACTTGCCATCTGCCAGTTCTTAAATTGATGCTATACATTTGCTTGAAATTTAAAACATTTCAAAACCATTGAGTTTAAATCAATGGTTATCAACACTGCACTTCATGGAATAATTTATTAAATACGACAAACAAACAAAAAAATTATAGATGATAAATTTGTTATATTCTGTAATAAAATACTTGCATTTCTTTTTTTTTTTTAATAAGGAAATACTTACATTTCACTTCATCAATATAAACAATGTCATAAGAATTAAATAGTAAACTGCATGGTATTAAGCCAAAGCAGAGTGGAGTGCGCCTCAAAAAAAAAAATCATGACACAGCTGCTATATACAAACAGGAACAAATCCATCTTTTCCTCCCTTTAAAGCTGCTCGGCCTTCTTCAACACCATTTTAGTTCCACTTTATTTCAGGTATCAGAAATGTAATAGTATTTTAAACCCTTCCCTGATCGTTCATACATAAAACACTTAAAGTTTACCTCTGTTTTAACCCACCAAGTGCTCACAGCCCCATTCCTTTTCACCAGCCACACACACTGTTTGATGGCCTTTTCCAGCACACTCTCAGGTACCTGGCCCCTGCTTATTACCCATGAGTGTCTGTTCAGCAGCTCTCTATGTAATTTTTGTTGGATTGCGTTCTTCACACCCACACCCAGGGGTGAGGGATGGTTCCTTATTGATTCTATCATCCTTATTTGTATAATAATTGTAAGATGGAAGATTTTAAACTAAACACACTATTGGCTGTAGCACTCGAGGTTGCTCACTCTGTAACACAATCTAGAATTGATAAATACTTAGCACCAAATTATAAATTAAAGAACATCTCTGCAAAATTGTCCTATGCATCTTACTACTAAATCAACCACCACAACGAGACAACCAACCACAAGATCCACTACTATGTAAGGTGTCAAGGACAAATTCACACCTCACTAGAGCAATGTTGAAACTTCAAACTCATCTCCCAGCACCTGAGAGTGTAGAAGCACAATGCTATCTGTTTTATTAACAAGATTTACTTTTGGAACCATATTATTGAAATATGAACTGGACAAGATTTTGAAATCTAGTTTATCCTCATTTGAAACATACGACATTTATTGGCTCAATGATATGAAATCAAATGTTAAGAGAAGTGGAAAAGCTTCTTTTCTTTCTCCCACTACATTGAATTGGCTTAGCATTCCATCAACAACAGATGTTTCGTTACTTAACACATCCTTGGTAAGTGATATCGATCTTAAGCTACTAAAAGCAACATGCTCAGGTACTTGTGGAGGCCAAAAGAAAGCTTTCACAATAATACTAATTGCTTAAGATATATATTATAGTTACAGAAGAGGGAGGAGAGATTGCAATTTTTCACATAATACCTGAGAGAATATAGTCTCAGCCATGAGGTACTCGTATCTGAAGGAAACCGGCAGACCAACCATGAAAGAGGCACATTCCTTTCGACTAGCTTTGCATTAAACCATAAATGATAATAGTTATAATTACATCAAGCCATTTTTATAGGGAAAAGGGATAAAAATAGAAAGACAGAAGAAATATCAAGGACTAGGGAAATTCAACTAAAACTCAGATTTTCCCTAAATTTCCATTGATAATATAGGACATAACTAAAAACTCAGCATTGGCACTCAACAGAATGAACAAATTTAAATTAACAACACAAAACCGGCAAGCCATAATGTGTTCAAGTAAATTTTTTATTATTCAAACTTCATCACAGGGTCATTACTACACTTCTAGTATCAAAGAAAATGAAAGGTGTATACAAACCAGCCATTAAAGAAAAGAAGCACATCTAGGAGATACTCTTCCATAACAAATCTGTCTATAGGTTGTAGATCCTGCATAAAAAATATTTATTTCATTGAACCAACACATGATTGGCAAGTATGAAATCAAAATTACTGAACATACAGATGCAGCTATTACACACAAAAAACAAACAGGTTAACATGCTAAGAATATAAGCAGCAGACTATCATTCAAAAAGAAATTTCATCCTCATTAGAAAAAATAAAACCATTTGAAAGCCATTAGGAGAAGGATTTAATTAAATACAAGTACAAAAGCACAAGCAGACAAGACATTATTCATCTAAGGCAACCACAACATACAACAAGGAAAATGCACATTTTTTAGCTATTCAACCATGAAATTGGTATATTCTACAAAAGGATATTAGCAGGGACAGAATTGAACAGGATGCATCTTAGCATATGGCAGGATAAATATAGACTGCTAAATAAATTTAAGGATTAAAAAACCCATCACCAATAACATATATATACATGAATTAGTCATCAAATAACAAAACCAAAATATCACTTCATTCAAACTAATATTGCAATAGTTAAGGAGCAAACACAATCCCCAACAGATCATAAATAATAGATCATTCAAGAAACCAAACCATCAATGAAAAAATAGAAAAGAATACACAATCCTTAAAGCTTTCTCCAAAAGAAATAGAGAAGGTATATTAAAAAGAAATCTTGAAAGGAATTTGAAAGCAGATAAATATGCTAAAAAAAGGAAAATGGAAATTGACAGCGAGATGGCTCATTTCCACAGGAAATTGAAAGGTTTTGCAGACTTCCAAATAATGCAGACCAATATGTACCAATTATTTGACATAGTCTGCAACTAATACTGTTGATTAGATACAAAACAACAAATTAATGAAAGCCTGAAATAATAAAGGGGAGATCTAGATACATATAAAGGTAATTCCATTTACATGATAAAAATCAAGTAAAGAAGTTTCCATAAAAATGGATTAAAAGAATGGTAACCAGTGTAGACACGCTAGACCAGTAACATACAGAATGCAAATCACCTCATTTTTACTGGGAGGAAATATGTTTAGCCGGTGTATCCTTTGAGGGTATTTTAATTCTGCTTCGTGCTTCTGTTTACCAATAGATACGCCAGAAGGGACTGAAGGAGGATTTGGTAAGCTGGGGCAGCTTATTGGCCCAAATTCATGAGACTTCCCACCAACCAGCTGAGCTTCAAATGAAAGATGAGGCCTAGGAACTAACAATTGAAAAATATATAATCAAGATGGGAATAAAACACAAGAAATTAAATAAAGGTAAACAAAAGTGACGTGTATGACATGATAAAAATATATAATAAAAAAACAAAAAAGACAAATCAAATGAATAAACTATTCACTAAAAAGATTAGATATAAGCTTATATCTGGTTTCATGAGGAATATGATTCTGTCATACTCTCCTCACATCATCCCAGTGTAAGATTAGAATTTGAAAGGAAAGCTGGAAAGTAATTCAATAGCACGATAACTAGAAGTATTAAAGCAAAATGTAAAATACTTTAGAAACTGCAACCAAAGCATACATGTAAAATTGAAATTTTATTTTCAAAATTAGTTAATTTGGAATATTTAATGCAGAAGAGGCATTGGTCTAAGAGAGAAGAGAGTGAAGAATTTCAAATTCCTAGTTTTTAGGCGGGTTTTAAGTAATCAAAATAATCTAATAAATATTTAGAACTTCAAATTCATTGAAAACTCTATCCAAATAACATATTTTGTCATAAAGCATTTTAAATTCTTTTAAAAAAAATGAATTACCTTCTAAAATTCCTCATCCAAACACAAGATTAAGTTTTACTTTAAGACATTATTTGTAAACTTGACATCAATATGTAGAGAAATAAACACAAAAGAAGAGCAAGTAATGTTAGCACAAAAATGCCCTGAAATTACAGAAAGAAATCAAATGCGTGAACAATTTAACTTTAACTGTAGAGGATTTCAATTTTTGATAAAGGTATAGTGGCATAACCCATTCCAGACAGAACAGAGAAAATTACCACTTTCAACTTTCCATCCATTGCTTGATAAAACGTGTATTCTATCCCATAAATCTTCTAAAAAATCCTGTAAAGTGGAAATTAAATATTACAAATATAATCCTTGTCAAGCACCCTCTAAACATTTATTAAAAGGGAGTAGATATGTAGAAACATAACAAGATAAAAATATCCGTAAGTTACAAGAAAAATGATTTTAAGGAGCCAATATTCGACCTTGGATCTATTACCAACTGTCTAAAGAAATAACCCTTCATAAGTTTTGAAATTTAAATAATTACAACCCCATTTAAACACGGGTGTTCTGAGGAGAAGCACAGAAATGAGACGCAACATCAACAAAAAACAAGTCATTATCCAACTAGGAGAGTGTCCTTTAAACAAGCAACAATGTTTGAAATGCCATTACGATTTGAATGAATTTAACAAATGCGTCAGACAACCAACGTTTATAGTAGACAACCAAAGTTTATTAAATGCACCACCATAAGACCCAAATCAGACAAAGAATGCGTAAATTGTGATAAAGGAGCCAACCTTGTCACTAAGACCTTCCCCATTTTCTTCATCATTCTCGAAAAAGGATAAGCCAGTATCAGAGGTATGCTTTCTGATGCTCAGGTAAGCTTCTACACCAACCATCACTCTCTCAATATCTTCAGGAACTTGCTGTAAACAGACATGACATGCCATTAAATGGAAAAAGAATTCAGTGATATTGAAATCCATATTGGTAAAAAGAGAATGACTTCTGCATTTAATGTATGAACCCATACATGCAAGTTATTGGTTGGTTCCAATTTAAAGTACAGTGGAATTACATGAAAAAGAAAAGGAAAATTCCAATAAATGATGCTGTTAATCAGCATAGAAATACTTTCCTAAAAATCAGACTAAAAAAGTAAAGATTCCTTTCCAATCATTCCCGTTTTAATTGGGTTTCTATGGAAAACACATTTTCAATGGAGTGTAACCTGAACAAACATGCATATATTTAACAAAAAAATAAGTACCAAGAATGGATAGCATGGCAGTTGTATCATTTGCTGTAATCTTTATAACTTCTCAAAATAGTGAAAATTCATGATATGTGCGTTAAATTCTTTATTCAATGTTGCCATAATATGAGCAGTTCACAACTCAATTGCATTTCACTACTGACCAATGCTACCAATTGATACTGACACAAAAATGGACGAGACACAGTGATTCTCTCTAAATCACAGACAACATCTACATTTAAATACAGATAACTCCAATCAAAGAATGGATGAAGTGAAATTTTATTTATTTATAAATGAAAAACAAACTGAAAAATGCAAAATAGTGCTGACTTGAATAAGTAATACAACAGTCAAATTTATAATAGCTCATGTTACTTTGAGAAATTGGATAAAAATATGATATATAAAAAGAAATAAAAATAATAGAAAATTCAGAAATTGATACAGTAATAATCAGATAGAGAAGAGTTAGAAAATGAGCAAAGGAAATTTAAATTACAAGGTCATAATGTACACAGCTTAAACAAAGCTGAAAATATTGCCAAATTTGTAATTAAAATCATCAAATAATTACCTCAATAAGTTCTGCTCCGCCCCATGGGAGGCATGATAAAATGCAAGTTATGTAGAAGTCTGCACATGGCTGCCATAAGGGATTCCCTTTTTCCTCGTCTACTGTTGTGGCAGCTGAGGATAAAAATGTTTCAAAGACAGCCACCAAAGAGCTTGGTTGAATAACCTTACTGCACATCTAAAGAATTTACAAGGAAGCAACACGTAAAAAACTTGCATTCAGTTACATAAATACTCCAAATGAACATACATTATAATCAATAACAAACATGCTATATCAGTTGTACAAGTAAAAAAAGACTAAAACATAGGAACAGATCAGCTTCTTTTATGGAAACATCTTTTACGAATTACAATCAGAAACAAACATGCTCTATATGTTCTACATGTAAAAAAGACTAAATTACAGGAAAAATAAATACAAGCTAACCGCAAAACATTACAGACAAAAATGTCATACTCAAACACAGAACAATTATTCAAAAATGTAGAATCAACCGGATTGTGAAAACTTGAAGGATTTCCTAATTACCTCCCAAATGCCAATAAAAATATATCAGTCAACAGTTTAAACGTCAAGAATGCTACACGATTTTTCTGCCAAAAACAGTGCCAATACATACCATAACAGTCAAAAGCCGCATCATAACGCGAACCCTGTTGCAGTTTCCAGAATCTAAGGCATCCTACATTACAAATACAAAACATGAGAAACTCGAAATTATAGGGAATAAATTAAAGGACGTCAGCAGAAGAACTAAAAGATCACATTAATTACTTCATAGATTCAAAATTTGGCAGCAAATTAAAGAAATATACAATAGCATTATTGAATGAATAGAAGAATTGAAATTGAATGTGTATTGAAAACCATTAGTAAATAAGAACCATGTCTTGCATCAAAGCAAACAAACCTTAACCATAAAAATTAAGAGTCAATCTTTTCTTTAAAAAACCTAGCAGAAATATGTTTCAATTTGACGTTCTATAGGAAAAAATTTCAAGTTTCAGATCCATGTAACTAATAATTATGCATAGCAAGCAGTTAACAGTACTTTGAAAACTAATTGCATTAAATTTCACATTCTCATCTATACCATTAGATTTTAGATTTACTAATCAATATTCAATGGTATAGATGGCTAGTCACATGGAAATAGAACTACTACACTTAACTGCAAATCCAGCTAATGAACTAACACTAGTTAAAGGAATGAAGCCAGTGAATATACAACACCAAGAAATCAACCCTAGCAGTTTCAGTGGCTTAAATGCTTACCTGAAATATAGTTTGAGTTTTCTCCACTAGTTGTTTCCCAAAGTCCTCATTTTCCAAGTTAATTAAACCAATCTGCAATTAAATGCATACATAGGAAATATAGGTTGCTCAAAAACTTCAATTGAAAATACACAAGCAAGAGAAATTTCACAATACATGATAGAGTGGTAATTAGCTACACAAAATTATAGTATTCGGATACACATAATTGACATTTGATGTGAAATGCAGTGAATAATTATATTAGAAAGTGGATTTGGAATTAACTTAATCCGATAAAATTGGCTTATAAGATGAGATTTGTGCCCACTATGCTATATTCTGGTCTAGCGGATGCTGGATCTCTAATAACCCCTCTCACTCGAGGACTGGACATCTTGAATGTGAGACTAGATATGTATGAGTCCGATAGGAGCCCAATAGCAAGTGGCACAAAATCCCAACAAACCTCATTAGAATAAGCTCTAATACCATCATAGAAAGTGGACTTTTAAGTCTAACTCAACCTCATAAAGCTGACTAGTAAGAAAAGGTTTAAACCCACTTATACACTATTATATGGTCATATCTCTAGTCAATGTAAATCTCCAACAAAATTAATAACAGGATAATGTAACAGCATTGGAGAGCAGAAGTGTCAGGCTAGGCTAATGATGATACTTCTTTTAATATTTAAGCATCAAAGTTTATAAGCTTTCACCCAATTCTGCTGGTTACATACACTCCAGCTTTGAAACACACATACTAGTCTATATCTTTTATGAACATCATTGTCATCATGATGTTAAAAACATAATATTGTTCCCTAAAAGACAAGGTTTCCCAAATGCATTTGACAAAATGTTATTTCCAGGACCGAAAAGGAATTATAGCCATTTATCTTCAACAAACCATTTTAACTATACCAAAATTGGCTTGTCAGTATGCATGATCGAAAGGACCTTTGAAATTCACAGAGCTGACTAGTAACTAACATGAGCTAATAAAAGTTATGAAGCTTGCAATCGAAAATTTAATAATACATAGGGAATAAAAAGGTGTGAAAGGTAAGGATGTTAACTCTTTTAAATAAGATGGAAAAAAAAGACATTCAAGAAAATAAAAATTGTATACATTATGATGTCATACAAATAGCAATTCTATGTAAGTAGGCCATAATATTCAGTAGCACTTACACTGTCATTAACCACAACAATAATAAATTATGTTCACCAGGTTCCCAGTATTGATATATTGCATTTTCACCAAATAAAGCTACCTCTGGGAAAGTAAAACATACAGACACTGCCAAAAGTAACAGTAACAACAATAACAATTTTAATGAGAAGATGTACATAACAGTCATGCATACAATTGAGAGATATATTTTAAGGATAAAAGACAGTGTACTTTGACACTGATATAGTGTACTTATATATGAGAGAGTACAAAAGAGAGGTTGAGCTCCTGCCCCAACCCTAACCCTACATCCGGGTACATACATAGAAAATAAAAACACAACATATTTTAACACATAGACATCCACAATAAGATATTGCAAAATACAGGAAAAAAATAACAGATTCCATTACAGTTCAAGAGAGAAAAGAAATATCTACCAGGGTCCCATATAGAGGAATCTTGTGAGACAAATGCTCAGCACACATGAGAAGAAACTGCACAAACAAATCCAACAAAGTAAAATCTGTTGTGTTATCAAGCAAGCCAGTGCCTTATAATGGTACAGAAAAAGACAACATGTACAAATACTACACATGCTTGAATATTGAGATAAGAAAGCAACATAAAAATTATAACATTTGAGAAACATGTAGAAGAAAATGTGGTGAAGCAACTAAGAGGTCCACATACAACAGTTCTAATATAACTACAAGGTTCTAAATCCTAATCAACTATCAAGGTTTCAGATTTCTGAAGCACATAAGGTCTCTTCTCAGAGGAAAATCCCTGAGCAAGCAACAAGCTAAAACGAAGGCATAAAACAAAGTGTAACTAAAAATCCACGCCTTAAAAATCAAGCACAAAGCATAGAGATAACGCTTCAATTCGGAACGAAAATTGCTTTCGTACAACATTACTGTAGGTTAATTGAACGTAGATCACAAACTTAGTCCACACTCGTAGCTACAAGTACAAATCTCCAAACTGTCGAGAAGAAAATAGCAAAGAGCGAATCGAAAACATTTCACTTATTCAACCGAGAAAACGAATTGACCTAACTATCCGACACAAGACCAAAATGAGAACGAGAAGAATCAGAGTTTACCTCCAAAACATCGGTTTGGGAGTGGTCGAGCTCGCGGCGAAGGGCGCCAAAGCAAGTATCCTGGAAATCGTAAGCAAAAAGAGAGAGAGATTAGACGTTAGCAAGTAGAGAATCGATTCTCAGCGAAGAGTAAAAGGAAGAAGAGAAAACGTACAATGTGATCTTTGTAGTCCGACGAGACTCCGTATTCGGGACTCTTGTCGCCAATTCGTAGAAGAAGGTTTTTCCAACTACTCATAGTTTACTACAATACTTCGAACGGAAGAGTGAGAAGAAAACAGAGAAACGAGAATGAAGGAGCGTTAATAAGGGGTTTTTATGAGGGTTTTGGGTCTGAGGCCCCGCGTGCGGTGCACCACACACAACTCCACACCACACCACACCACACCACAAGTACTTCAACTTTCAACCCTAACTATGTTAGTTGCTGCCCGCATTAGAAAGGCACTTGGCACTTTATTCGGGAATCATCATATATTCACAGTGGAAAATACTCCATATCCGTTATAATAATAATAATATTATATCTATATTACATATTAATAGCATTTTTAAAGATTTTTGACTAAAATAATATTATTATATTAGATATATACACGTAAGAGAATATGTGATGAAATTATTTATTTAACTGAACCTCTCATAAAATTATTTACTGAACTTTTTTTACTGTTATAATTGGGATTAGGTTTCTAGTAACTGAATTCCAACTTTCAACTTACCACTTTTTTTTAAATAAAATATATAATTAAAATTAATAAAATTAATATTAAAAATAAAATTTTAATTTTAAAATATAAATAATATTTATATAAGAAACAATAAAAATAATATATTATTTAAATATATATTAAATTATTTAAATATATTTAAATAATTATTAAAAATATTAAATAATAATTTTTATTATATTCTTTTATATTTTTTTTATTTTTAAATAGAAATTTTAAAATTTATATATTTTTTATTATATGAATTATTTAAGTTATAATTTTAGAAAAAAACAGAATAAATAAAAATTTAATTTAGGTAATATATTAAAAAATTAAATATTATATTATAAAAATTTATGTAATAGTTTTTATTTGATAAATTATAAATATTATATTAAAAAATTCATGCTAAAATTAATTTTTTAAAATAATAAAGTAAAAATATTATTTAATTAGTTAAAAATTATTATTATTATTAATATAAAATAAACTTAAAAATAATAAAAATTAACAGAATTTAATGTATAATATTAAAAATAACATAATCATTGATAATAAAAATTAAAAAATAAAATTATTGACAATAATGTTAAGAAAATTTTAATCTCAAAAGTGGTGTCCAGGTTCACAACGAGGACGACGTCTATTACGTTTTGGATTTCGTCGGTGTGGTTGTTCTTCAATTTCAGGAGAAATTTGTGGAGGGTTTTCTCCTTCATAAACCTCTATTATTTTCACTCTATAAAAATATTTCTATCTTTATTATTTTTCTTTAATATCATGTTCTATAATTTTTATTTTGCTACTAATAACTTATTTTTAATTTTACTTTTAATATTTTATATATTAAATTTATCACATTTTTTTCTAAAATTATAACTTAAATAATTCATATAATAAAAAAATATTAATTTTAAATTTCCTATTCAAAAATAAAAAAAATATATATATAAAATATAATAAAAAAATATTATTTAATATTTTTAATAATTATTTAAATATATTTAAATAATTTAATATATATTTAAATAATATATTATTTTTTATATAAATATTATTTAAGTTTTAAATTAATTTTTTTTAATTATATATTTTATTTAATTTTTTATTTTAAAAAAAGTGGTAAGTTTAAAGTTGGAATTTGGTTTTCGATAAACCAAATTCCAATATAACAAGTAAAAAAGGTTCAGTTAAGTAAATAATTTCATCATTGTTACGTTATATATATATATATATATATATATATATAATATAATATAATAATATTATTTTAGTAAAAAAATCCATTTTTAAACCGTCAGATTAAATATTTTTAAACTCACCATTAATAATATTTTTTTTAATTTGGACACATAATTTTAAAATTATAAATTTTTTTTTTAATTCCACCTAAAATTTTGTTCTTCGTCTGAAGTTTTTAGGAATTTCAATGATATTTATGTCATTAAATATTATTTTTTAATTATTTTTAAGGATAAATGTTAACAATAATATTAATGAATAAAATATGTGTTTTATTAATAATGTAATAATTCATATAATTCTTAGAAGATAATATGTTTAGTGATGTGAGAAAATAGTGTGAATATTATTTATGTTATTATAAATTAATATTTTTAAAATTAACCAGGTCACTTAATACACTTAATATGTAAAAATATGGAGTGTGAATATTATTTATGTTATTATAAATTATTATTTTTAAAATTAACCAGGTCACTTAATGCACTTAATGCACTTAATATGTAAAAATATGGATTTAAGATTTAAATTTTTAACTAAATTTATTAAAATAATATATTTATAATATAATAAATATGTAATAAATTTATTAATATTGTATTATAAAATAATAATAAAAAATTATTATCATGATCATCATAATAATAAAAATTATAAATATAAAATATATTAAAGAGTATAATATAAATAAATGTTAAAATAAGATAAAAATACAATAAAATAGTTATTATTTAGAGTTGATATAATTAATATCAGATAAAAAATAATAATATATTATATTTTTTATAAAAAAATATATTAAAAACCTAATATTAATTTAAACACATAATCTTAAATATGAAGTTATTACTTCAATGATGAAAAATATAATTGAAAATTCATTTAGATATCCACTTAAGAATCATAAGATTCTTTAGTCCAATGGTTTCTCATATATTAGATCTTTAAAAGCAAAGTTAATAGCATATTTAATGGAAGTTGCTTAAGAATCAAAGTAAATATTTTATTATGGGTCTTATACGTGAGTTGCTTAAAAATAAAAAAAGTTATTTAAAATTGGAAAAAAAATGTTTGGATAAGTAACTCAACTGTAAAACTCATAATAAAATATTTAATTTTATTTTTAAATAATTATAAATAAAAACCCTCATTATAGATTCTCTAATAATAAGATCATTATAAAAAAATAAAAATGGGTTTACTTTATTTTTAAAACTACATTTGTGAGATTATTTGCTCAATAAATCAAATCAAAACTATCTGTTTTCATAAAATTAGTGAATATACCTTTCATATTTTTAATGAGTAATATATGTTTATTGGAATTTAAGTCGAATATCTAGTAGTACATGTTAACACTTATAAATGTAGAATAATTATAAAACATCTCAATGTAAGATTATCACTTATAAAAACAACAATAATGGGTAGTATAATATTGATTCACTCTAAACCAACAAGTTATAAAAAGTGTTATCCTTTTAAATTGGTTTTGGTAAACAATCTAATATTTTCCAGTTAAAAAAATTATAAATTATAATATTTTTATTGTCCTACCAAAAGACACAATGATCATCTCAAAACAATTGAGAATATATGTTGAATATGTATCTTAATCAATAAAATATTTAGAATTATTAACAAGATATATTAGTTTGAATATTTTTTTTATCTTTCGTGGATCTTTGTACAAAATTATGTGAATTATAAGTTAAAAAGATAATGTATTTATAAAATTTAGAAAATCAATTACCAAATATATTTAATGACAAAGAAGGGAAATTAAATATAATATGTTTATGCTCTAATTAGAATTGATATATTTTTAAGTATCATCTAACATAATAATCGAGTTTTAAATCCTTGTGCTAAAGATGAAATTCTAAAATAAATAAAAAAGACTAAAAAGCGAGAAAATTCAATAAAGGATAAAAAAATCTCAACAAATTAATTTGAGGAAGTAAAAATTTTAAAGGATTTTTTTTTACATAATTAATGATTTTATTAAAAAAAACTTTACCATTTGAAATTAGTGAGAATGATGAAATATCAATAATTTATCTCATAAGTAATAAAATATTAAATAGAAATGAAGATAATATTAATAATGTTTTTACATATAACATGACGATAAATATTATGAATGATATCGATGAAAGTACCAATTACCACTAAAGATTATATATAAAAAAAAAATGGTCAAAATGAAGAGATATGAGTCACATTTGTTTACTAAGTAAAAGGTATTTTAACTTATAATCAATATACCCAAAAGTATAAAACTAGTTAGCTACAAATGGTTTTTCAAACTAAAATGAAACTAGAATATTAAGAATTTTATGGAGCAAATCATAGCTTATGCATGAAACGTGGTTTTCATGCTTTCTTTTATTAAATGTCATTCTATTCAACAGACTCTTACCTGATTAAAATATGACATTATTCTTTACTTTTTATTCAAACAAAATTTAACTGAATCTAATTCACCTACATCATTACGAAATATTTAACACGATTAAACAATTAAACTCTTTTCTAATATAAATTATAAAAAATACTCTAAGCATGAACATTTAAACATTAAAAAAAGGTCAACTAGTTCTAATGCAATAAGAAAAGTGCGTATAAAATTTGTATATTAGATTATAAAAGGTTAACTTTTATTTATGATATTATGTAATTTTTATAGGTTTAAGTTCTAATCAACATTACTATAATTACTTGATAAAATTGTGACCATTTAAAAAAAATATTCAATTCAATTATCATTAAAAGTCATTTTAATTGTTTCCAACTTGATGTGTTTTTTTCATTATTATTGTCGTTAATATTACTTGCATCACACAGTATAAGTAATATGCAATAATATAAATTTCGTACTGTTTGAGCTATCAAAATTAAATTTTTTAAAATAACACAATAGGCTCATTTTTTTGTGGGTTTAGTTTAATCAACTAACAAGAAAACAAAAAACGGTTAAATTTTGTATAAGGCCGATGAAATAACATGGGCAATAATAGCCCATACCTGAAATAGCCCAATAAAAACTAAATCAACCAAAAACAAAAGGCCCAATGCTGATGATGGGTCATATATTTTATAGATTGGGTTTAGATGGAATGGGCTTTCTGGGCTGAGCTGCCCACTACCCAAACCTAGCTTGGAATAACATAATACAATATTAAATAGGCTTTATCCAAGTATATTAACTTAAAATATTAATATAATCGAGTTTGTAGAATTTAAAATTCATAAACTAATTGCTTAATTTAAAATTACTTTA